CTTCAATTAATCAATATGGTCTGTTCACATTGTCTTGTATTATGCTAATTCCCAAAAGAAGTGAAGGTGATTATGTGGAACGGAAATTGGTCTAATGTGTGCGGAAATCTTTGACAAACATCATTATAAAAAACATGTAATTTGATTTATTTTAAAGATCTCAACGAGAATGTATAATCTGAATAATTAAATTATAAATTATAAAAAGTGGTTGAAATGATTATAATTATTTGTTTTAATACTTCTTTCAAACACCAGTAATTTCATTCAAATTATTGCTTATAAATATGTTTATTAAATTATTGCATTTATTATCAACATTGTTCAATAATATAACATAATTTATAATTTTTAAGTACCATAATTGTATTTTAAAACCGTTCAAGAATTTCTTGACTTTTATTGCCCCCTGTATATAATTACGCAATTTAAATTTGACAATAAAAAAAGTTGGTTTTGATTAAAATGACTAAAATAATACAATAATATAGTTCGGTTTGAAAATTCAATAAATTCAAAAAAAATCTATAAAAGTACACAAAATTATTTTTTATTCAGAAATTAATGAGTTTTTCTTTATTAAAGTGTTAATTTTTTAGGGTTTTATAGTTCTCGATTAGTCCGGTATAATGACAGAACAGATTACACATATTGCGTGGTTATCCAATACTTGCTTTCTTCATTTTACCAAAATAATTCAAAAGAATATTAATGGTTATGATACTGAATATTTATTAAATATTTACTTATTGATACGATAGAAATGTTAAATTTAATTAAAAAATACTCTACTAAAATGCACCATCTCTTAATATAAGAGAAGCTTTCTTAAATCTGAATTATTTAATTTTACATTTATAATTTTTATCTTAATATAAGTTAATTTTCAAATGATATTGTTCAATATCTTGTAAATAAAATAAGTAATATTCCAAGAGTTCGTATTATCAAGTAAAATTGGATTGGCTCTATATTTATATATAGTTCTTGAGAGTATGTATTTAGGTCTGGATTGCATTGTAGATTGAATTTATGCTAAATTCCGGAACGGTTTAATCGAGGAAATTGCGGAATAATTAATTTTCAATCTCCGAAGCGCTAGGAATAAAATCAATGAAGAATGTATAAAGAAATGATTTATTAAGTCCTTGTAAATAAACATAAAAAAGTGTAAAAAATAGAAAAGTATTCATTCCTCAACGACGTCCTCATCCTCATCATCCATGAATTCTTTAGGTTGAGTTATGATTTTCTTGAAGCTTGGACGTGCAGTGACCTCTTCCTCCTCGGATTCCTCGCTGCTGGCGGCCTTCGATGCACTCGCATCATGTTTGTTTACTGGCTTTGGCGCAGATTGCCCGACCAGACCCCTAAACGCCGGTATAATATTATTTAAGGCATCCCAAATGGCCGGTGTCGTGGCATCAGGCCTAACATTAACGTTGACTTGGGTAATCTGCTTGAGAGAATTCCGCATCGACTCCGCCTCGTACGCTGTTCTGCGATGGTCGTAAGGGTATACATCGGTTTTGTCGATGAGGCTATCAAGCCTCCTCTTAATATTAGTGAGCAATGCTTTGGTCAGGGCCGGAGTGAGGGGATCATGCTTCTGACCTAAGAGTCCGTTGTTGTAAGGCTCGAAGTTATGGATGATGGGATTGATCTGTCCAAGGAAACCGTTAGAATGCGGCTCGAAATTGTGGATCAACGGGTTGATCTGCCCGAGGAAGTTATGGTGCGGTTCCGAGTCGAAGATGTTCGGATTAATCTGTCCCACCAGAGGATCGGATTCCGAAGACCCATCCTCCGTTAAGGGCTTCATTAATCTCGACCGCAGCCTCAGCTTTAATGGTTTTCTCGCGAATTTTGAGAGAAAAGCAGACGCCGGAGACTGCTTGATCTCCACCTCATCATCATCATCCTCTTCCTCCTCTTCGGAATTCGCTTCACGTTTCGTTTTCTTGGTTGCGTCGATTAACCTTATGGACATCCCCACCGTCGCAGCAGTTTTCTTAATCATTTCCACATCTCCATCTGAAAGAAATATTACGTCAGTCCGAGAATCGTGCACAAAGCTGGGGATATACCATCGACGTGTTCGTCTATAATGCAAATACAAGCCGGTATTGTGAAGTTGAATTGGGATTTGCCACCGCAACCACCGCAGATCGTATTACAATACCAAATTAGATCCTCCTCTATGTCCCTGCCCTTATGGTCCGCTTGAACCGCAACTGGAGCAAAACCTCAATTTCTTTAGCAAAACGAAAACCTAAACACGCACACGAATACTCACTTATTAAAGCCACAAAGATCAACGTAAACTTCATCTTGTCGGAGAATGTTAAATCACTTCTTTATTTATTTTTCTCTATCTTTCAATACTATAATTAAATCACAGCACTCGTTCAAGCAATGCCAATAAAACATGGTGCGGTAAAATATATAAGTGGAAAGAAATTCGCTGACTCGACCCGTAACGCTGTTATTGTTTATGCGATAAAAATTGGGTTAATATTACGTTCGCAGCGGATTTCAATAAATTTATTATTGCAACAGTTAATTACAAATGTATTCAAACACTGTAATTTCATAATGAGCTGGATACTCGCATTCCAGATTCATTTTTATTCCTGCGCTCTCTACACGCTTATTCAGTACATCATAATTTACATGCATAATGGCACATGCATTATATTCGCACACGATTGTGAAACTTTTTTTAATTTTACCATAACGTTTTCAGTTATGCCAATTCAAATTACTTTATAGAAATAAATAAACTTTGTATTAATTCCTATATTATTTAACTATTTTTTTTGTATATCAAATGTAATTATAAAATAATATATATAGATGAAAATGTAAAACAATATTACATGTAAAACTACATTTTTAATAATAACAATTAAATTGATGGCAATAAATATACAAATAATTAAAACATAGAAATATTTATAATAAATGATTCCAATAATTTTACATATTTATATTATATATATTTTAATATATATTGTCCATTATTTTTATTTTGTTCATAAGATATATTTTAACGCTCACGAGAAAATTAATACAAATTGATTTGTATTATAGTTATCTGTATTTGAACATTGAGAATAAAATATGAATGCAGATACAAAAAAATACTTTTTAATTAAAAACTTCAATTATGAATGAACTTGCGCTATTTGCAGTGTGGGAAATACTGTGTGTGAGAGACCAAGTATTACGAATTGTGTTTAACTTATGTGGAATTAAATTTTGTTTCCACTAACCGTCGTTCATAAGTTTGACAAGTTGAAATTATCTCAACTATTATCTGGAAGTTACTTCGAAACTGGATTATTATATAACGGCAACTAATTTAGATAAATATAGACTGTGAATGTATATAAAAAAACATGAAACCATAGTTGACAACAATAGAAATTTGAAATGATATTTGTCTAAAAAGACTGCAAACATTGTATTTTTATTAATACACAAAGTACAGGTTATCAATTGAGTTTATTATGTATTGTCTATTTACAACTTCAAATAAATCTATAAAAAAAAAATCATAAAATCAAACTGATTTTTGATTAGTTCTAGTTCAATACCTTGCATGTATCGTTATGTATAAAATATAAATAAAATACTTAAAATTTGTATACAACATAACTAACTTACTACAATTAATTAAACTTATTCTCTCATCAAGCAAGATTTTAAATACCTCAAAATATGTGTGATTAAATTGGAGATAGTGAAACTAATAATAAAATAAAAAAAACAATACACAAAAACCCATTCATATCATTTTTGGTAGAAAACAATATTTTTTTAAATAAAAAGACTGCAAAGATTGTATTTTTATTAATTATTGTAAAGATAGTTACTGGACCAATTTTACAACACAAAGTTCAAATTATCAATTGAGCTTATTATTTATTTAAATAGATTGCTTCAAATAAATCTATAAAAAACATATTATCTTTATACTAAGTATATTTAATTCTTTTTTAAATGTACATAATTTACTATTAACGATAGTTATCGTTTGTAACTTCTACTTTTTCAGAACTAGCCTTATATTGAATTAGTTTACAATAGAAAAATATGTTTAATAAGAGTGAGGTTCTGCATTCAGGGTTGGTAGTATACAAATCTTCCATTTCCTAATGTTATTTAATATTAAAGTAATAGTGTTAATATAACAATGTATTTTAGTACTTGATTGTAGCAAGCTAATCTTTTCGTATTTTACCAAAAATAAGTACTATGTTAATGCCGGAAGTATTATGACTGATTTTTGGTTCTTGTTTGAATGTTGCAGATGATGAAGGGGAATTCGGAAAGCGCCAGTCGCCGATAGATATACAAACAGGTCAATTAAAGTCTGCCTTTATGCGTTCATTGAAATGGAACCAGGGATATTTCGAACTGCCGGACAGTATGGAAATGATGTCGGATGGTCACAGCAGTGAGTAGTCTACATAACAATCCAGCGATGCGTCGCGAATTTGCAATATACATGGGATTATCGTATTTTTTTCCTTCTGCTATTTTGCAGTTGTCCTTTCGACGAAGCAACCCTTCGCCCCATCAATATCCGGAGGGCCTTTGAAGCACGAGTACAGATTGCATAGCTTGCATTTCCATTGGGGTTCCGAGAATAATAGAGGTAGTGAACATACGATCAACGGAGTTTCTGCTGGGATGGAAATACACGCAGTCCATGTGCAGGATGGATACACTTTTGAAGAGGCCAAGCAGAAAGTTGGCGCCATATGCGTAGTCGGATACTTCGTTGAAGTTTACCAACCTATGATCTTCGAGAAGCATCGTAACTTGGACGCCTTCAAGATCATCACCGAGGAGTTTGAATATCTGCAGGGTGTGAACCAAGGGCATAATCTAACTCGCCACTTCCCTCTGAAGAACTTGTTGGTTCCCTTCAGAGATGAGTACGTGACGTACGCCGGCTCGTTAACCACCCCGGATTATAACGAGGTCGTGATCTGGATTGTCTCGCCATACACCATAAAGATATCACCTAAACAGATGGAGAGGTTCAGAGCCCTTGTTCCCGAATTGGTAGACGATAACGACAACTTCCGTCCAACACAACCGTTGAATGGCAGATCCGTCTACCTTGCCCGTTGCGGCTACCCAATGTCCGAGAGGATCCTTGATTCCGAATACTTTGCACAAAATTACTACGATTCCCTGTCTCCTTACCGTTACAATAACATCTACAAAACTATAATTTTCAACAACGAGAGCTACGATTTGGAAAGTTTCCGCGGCGAGATGGGTAAAGTCAGCGATGTAACCGAGCTGACGGATGACCATATTTACTTCTTCGACGATTACATTTATCCTCCGGCCAATGCTAACCACAAGAACGTAAAGCTAGTTAATTACAATAATATGCTGCATCCTGTCTACCATGAAGATAACGATCTCACTTACGGCGTTGACTTAATGGGTCTCATAGGCAAAAACCATGCCTCTATCAATTACCATCCAGATTACATTGTCTCCTCCGTTTACGGCGCAGGCAACAAGTTCTACAAATAATTGAAAATAACAATACAAACAATTCTAACTCTAATATTAAGTTTTAAATAATAAACGAACTAACCACTCAACTTGCTAATTGTTGATTAGTTATAGTTCAATACCTCGCATGTATAGTAATGTACAAAATATAAATAAAATACTAAAAATGTGTATACAACATAACTAACTTAGTACATTTAATTAACCTTATTGTCCAATGAACCAAAATTTTAAAAATCTCAAATATGTGTGATTAATTTAGGAACAGTGAGACTAATAATAAAATAAATAAAACAAAGCCCATTCAAAACACGGGCTTTATCACGAGGTCATTTCATATGGGATGTTTATAATAATTAGTAACAATTTATATATGAAAGAGAAATATATCAAAATAAGAAAATAAACGCTAAATCAAATAAAGACTAGAATTTATACAAAAAATAAAATAGCTGATATACTAAACGCGGATAAAATAAATATATTTTATATTGAAAATAAGGCAAAAATAAGTGTACAGAGAATTAAAAAAAAATCCAGATTAGGTTCCTAAAATTAAAGTTTGAAATCAATTTTATAGAAAGCAAAAGTCGAGAGTTATGTCTTAAAACAAACCAACCCTATCTAACGCAGATAACGAAAGGATAGTCGAGAGGTTTACTAAGATTCTGAACTAAATTGTTCAATTAGTGAAAAAAGGAATAAAAAAGCTTTATACAGTTTTCAGTTCACATTGATTTAGATATTAATCAACATAAACTGAAAACTCTATAGAGGAAATATAAATTTATTACTATATACATCTCTATTGTGAATTACATGTATTTTTTGTTAACTAATGGAATATCACAATACAATAAAAAATAAATTAACTATATTACATGTAAAGCATATCTATGATATCAAAAATTAAAACTGTAAATGCTTCTCCGAATTGCACGCAGCACACTTCGGTGGCATAACAAGGTACATTTAAATGCGTAGCGAGGTCCCTGACACTCGTGCGTTTGACAATGTTGAAGCAACTATTAGTCGCGTAAGAGTATTCTTGGCAGTTTCTAGAAATCAATGGGATTGGAAGTGGTGGAGCGTTTACTACAGCTGGAAAATGTTTTTTTTTAATTAAGCCATACTAGGTTTGAATGATTGAATTATATCTATTTCAGTCTTCCATAGGTAGTTATGGAGATATCTGTAGAATTGGTGGGAGTTTTTTCTTGGACGGTCGCTATTTCTCCTCTTCCGCTGAGTTATCCGAATTCTCTCTGTGGATATTGAATGTTTTAAAGGAAAATAAAACTCAAGACGCTCAAAAACTAAGAAGAAGCAACCAGCAAGACTGATCGGTACGGAGTCTCGAACTGAACACTACATTTTATTGCTACTTTTATTGTAAACATTCAAGAGAAATGATCTGAATGGACTCACTTATTATTATAATGTTTAACAGTTACAAAACTTAGTCAATTTATGGCACACTTGATATTTCAGTGGGAAAGTTGTATTGTCAACAATATTGTATTGATAGACAGACATATATATTTATTACTAATTTTATAAAGTTTATTAACTATTTACTTTTTAATACATTTAATATACTATATTTTAGGCTTAGCTCATATATAAAAAGATACTTATGAATAATAAACTAGAACACCTGTTACATCCTATCAATGATATTAGTAATTTAGTTTTATAATAGTTGTATATTGTTTTGTTCTCTCAAGTGATTATTTATTTTAATATATATTTAACTAAGCTAGTATGATTACATTATTTGTTATCATTATACAGTTTTCTGTGTATTTTTACGGTATTTAGAGTCAATTAATGCATCATGATAATATAGTAAAGAGAAAATGACTACTAATAATTTTCCAATATTTAAACAATGGAAAGTCGAAATGATTGCAACGTACAAACAATTACAATACATAATGTTGTAATTATATAAACCAATGAAAATATACTATCACGTATCATTATAACTGTTTTAAAATTACATTTTTAAGTTTTAAATTAGATGTTATTTAAAAAATTATGACATGCTAGGTAAATTCTAATTTAACTAATTTTGCTGTTCCCGAATCGTCTCATGAACCATATGCAGTATGCAAAGTGTACCTAATTACTAAAACAGACCATCTGGTGTTTTATAAATTTAATTCATCTAATATATTGACTCTTGCCCTTGAATTTATTACTTGTATACAATTTTAGATAATTAAAAACAAATGTTTTTAATGTGTAATTTTTTAAGGGTATTAAAAATTTAAAATTAAATGAAAAATATAATGTAGAATAATATATTCAAGAGTATTTGTTGTTTAAACACCTAATACAAATAATTTCCAACAAAAGTTATTCTTTTCTTACTACAATATTAGTCAGTTTTGAATCGATTAAATCTGAATCTTTAGTAAACCAAGAAACACATTGAACTAATATTACATGGAGTCTGGTCCAAGCATATACTCGAGTAAGCGCACTTTTATCAAACCTGGGATACACTTCTACCTCGCGATTGTACTACAGAGTTAAGTTAGAGAGAGACTTTATATAATTTCAAATTTTGTTTTTATTATTATTTTTTATTTTATTAGATAAAAGTTTGCTTTGGATCAAATGATTTGTGTCAGTTTAATACCCTTTTGAAGATGGACATTTTAGACTTTGGTTTTAGATTTAAGTTTTTGAAGCATGCTCAAAAAAATGGAGGTTCACGTTAATTATAGCGCAATTTTAATTCAAAATTAAATTCAAATAATCGTGTGCAAATGTTTTATATTTATTATTATATTTTACTGACAATTATTATTTTTACTGAATGTTTTTTTAAACTTTGATTATTTTTAATTAAGATTTCCAACAATAAAATATCTAAAATAATTTATTTATAGTAATCTATTAAATAGTTTTACAAATTCTCTATTTAGTATAATTTAGTTGTTAATTATGGAAGTGCACAAATATCGATCACATTTGTTTTTAAGAGGTTTCAAAATGGTTTCGTGCTTCGGAATGGGTCTAGACCACGACAACTGAAAATTGTCCCGTCGCTCCGAAACAATAATTTTCGGAACGGCCACTGATGAATTTTTAAATCCATGAAAAACCATAAATATCAATTATAGTGGCGCTTCGAAATGTGCCCACATCACGAAAACCGAATTAAATTTCATTATTTTGGTACAGTTTATGGACAATCATAACTGCATGCACAGCCGTTTCAACGCATTGTTGAACTCCAATAAACAATTTTCATTCAGAACTAATTTGAAAGTCGGCGGCAATGAAATCGAAATATAAAAAAAAGCGTGGAACTATTGTCGATTCCATACTTATATGCAACATACGGTACTAAAAATATGCAATTATGCATTCTATTGTAATTGAGATTTGATGTATAAAACCGAATATAATTACCAATTTCATTATCGTTTCTATTAATTTATTACTTGTAGATTCTGAATTTTATGATAGTCTTATTTGAATTGGTAATGCAGTATAAATTATATGTGTTTTACATAATACTGCGCTTATTTTATGCTTTAATGAATGTATCATTATATACTAAGAAGTTAATAAGAAAATTCACTCTAAATTGTTTAAAAATAACTGCAATAGGCTTTAAAATATGGATAATTGAAGTGTAACTATGAACAAACTTACAATATTTATATGCATCTTCACTAAATAAGCAATACAGCATTTCATTTTTAAGATATTTTTTTACCACTTTCGTATAAATACTTGTCGATTCAGTAAATAAACGGCTAATTAGTAATACAGCTATATCTCGTATAAAGCGACTTCGATCAGACCAATTCTGAAAAAAAAATACACCAAATTATTTTCTCATTTTATCCAGTTTATTTTTGTGCGGTTTTAAAATGCTGCTGTTTCAAATCGCGCTAGATATTCGGAAGTATTTGCTACTAATTATTTAGGTGTATTAACTATTTATCAAGTTCTGTTAATTTCAAGTTAGTAAAGTTCTAAATTGTTAGCATAGTATATGTAGTTTATTTAATATTATAGATAATTTGCTGATGTAGCTGCCTGCATTCTGTTTTTCTAAATGCACGAACACAGCTTAAGACATAGGCAACACACTGCACATACATTTTTCATATGATCAGAAAACTACTAGAACTGGTATGGAACTGTGGTGTATGACGTCAACGAAACACAGCTAAGTGTAAGTTGGAACTTATTACAAAGAAGAAGAAAACAATAGTACTGTATATAAATAAAAGAATGAAGCAAAATCAGTTGAAATGTACTTGAAAATTTTTTGTGTTGTACGAAGTCAATATTCCAATATTCCAATATAGTTACATATTCGAACAGAGGGCATTGTACAACATCATTTATTAATGATTATTGTCCTAAATCTACCACCTATTGCTAAATCAAAAGTAAAAAATCTGAAACAACGCAGATTTTCATCTAGAAAATTTATCAATATACATATTGGATACATACATTCAGATTATACAGTAACGCAATTAAATACGTATTGGGAATTGGTATCAAATAATGTAAATCTCCCAACCTCAATAGAAGTATTACTAAGAATGGAAGAAGGCAATATCTATAGATTAATTTTAAAGTTTATTAAAAAATCAGACTGTGGCGGACTGTGGCCACAGCACACATATTTGTATACTAAACTGACATCTTACGAACATGTACTAACTCAAGTATTACATCCAAAGTATTTTGCTGTCTAATTTATATAGTTAGCTTTAAACGGTCTCCGCAAGGTGTCAGTAGTATTATCAAAATTGATTTATTTTCAAAAATTATTATGAAATTATACATGAAATATCATACATTATAGTTAGATATAGGTAGATTCCTAGAAAATATCGTGTTGCGTAAAAGCGTGGTATATGAAAGCCATTTCAATCTAATTACAAACTATTTTCAGTACAATAACGTTAATTTAATCATTTTCTCCATTATCAATGCTCGTTACAAACAAACGTAAATCATCTTCACTCTCTGAATCATTTTCATCAATTGTAATAGTTGTACTGCTTCATATCACGTCTTCCCTCATCGATTTCGAAATAATATATTAGTATAATTTATAGTGTCAGCATTCTCCCATCTTTCTTGCCATTATTTCCTAATATCTGCACCAATCACAG